GAGGGCTGAGTGTTGTGAATGCAGAGGTGTCAGTGGAAGAATTGATCCCTTTAAGGCTGTCTGACGGCTGCCAGCTTTGGTGCAATCTGTGGGGCAGCAGCGCTGCTTCTGGGTCTGCCCCACTTTTGGGGCTGCGCTGGGAGCGCTGAGCAGAGCGGAGCTGCAGAAACGGGATGGGAACGGGGTGAGCCGATGGGAGGCGGCTGTGGCCGGTGCTGCAATGCCACCTCGTGGTTACGGCGGATGGACAGACGGACGGACGGACATTCGGACGCCCTATAGGGACGGATGAACGGATGGGTGAGAGATGAATGGTAGGACGGATGGTTGGACAGATGGATGGATGAGAGATGAGTGGATGGAGAGACAGACGGATGGATGGATAGTCGGATGGACAGACAGACAGATGGAGAGACACTGCTAGAAGTGGCGAAGGCTCCCTGAGGTGCTTTGCAGGCAGCACGAGGTTCTCGGCCCTTCTGTAGGAACCCCAGGCTGGATCCGTAAGGATTGTTGCATCCGACCCCAGGTTCCAGGCAGCACCACCCAAAATCAAACTCAGCGTCTGAGGGCATTGACCAAACGGTTCTTCAGCAGCGGTTTTTGGTGCTGCTCTGCTGGCAATGGAGCTCCACGCTGAATTTTTGGGGAGCAGTGGGTCTGGGGCTGAGCTGAGTGCAGGAGATGCTCAGCACGGGGAAGGGGCTGAGACGCACCCTGGCGCTCTGTGATGTCAGCTGGGGACGCTGTCATGGCAACGGGCGCTGGAGCGATGCTGGCACCTGCGGGGCTCGTCCTGCTCTTGGTGGCAGTGGGTGGCCGTTGTGAGGACGCGGCAGCAGCCAACGTTGGCCGTCACACCATGGCCCGCATCGCCGCGCTGCTGTCCCCATCTGAGTGCCGCCAGCTCCAGGGGCAGCTGATGGGACCCAGCAAGGACACGGAGCAGAACCCAAAGGACGGCATTCGTCCCCGCGTCCCACGCCACCGCCCCGGCTGCTCGGAGGCTCTACGGAGGTGGCTGGAAATGGAGGGAGAGGTGACATCGTGGGACCAACTGGCCCGCAGCCTCCGCCAGATCGGGCGCCCCGACATCGCCCGGGAGTTGGGGAAAAACCTGAACCAGGACCGGAGCCTGGAGCTGCGCAGGAACGTGGAGGAGTACGGCCGCAGCGTGCAGCATCTCACCTCCTCACTGCTGCTGCAGGGCGAGCAGTATGGAGCGGCACGGAGCAGGAGGGGCTCGGGGGATGCGGGGGATCTGCGCTTCGAGAGGCGGCCGCCCCCTCCCTACACCCGCAGCCCCCTGGGCTGGGTGGGCCCCGTGCTCTCAGGTGTCCTCGGGGGGTTCGTCGCCTCCGTCCTCGTTGCTGTGGTCACTGTGCTCTCCTGTCACTGGGCACTGGGCTCGGTCACCTCGTGAGGTGGGGGCAGGACTGAACTGGAGCATCGCCGTCAGGTGCCGGTGGGAAAATGAAGCAATAAAGGGTTGTGGAGGGGAGCCCTGTGTTGTCCTTGGCTTAGGTCGCCTTGAGCATCCAAAGGTGGGCATCTCCTGTGAGTTGTCACCGGCTGTTGGAACGTCCTTGGGTAGGGATGGAGCCAGGCTAAGCTCCCTTGACCTCATCACCGCTGCAGCCCTTGGAGTTCTCCATCAGATGGGGTCAACAAGGCCTTGGTTGGGTCTCCAAATCCCCAGTGGGGTCTTCCAGCCTCCAACAGGGTCTCCAAAGCCTCGGTTGGGTTTCTGAGTCCCCAGAGGTGTCTCCAAGCCTTGGTTGGGTATCTGCTCCCCTGGACTTGCGGTCCCCAAGCGCTGCATGGGATCTCTGAGCTCTTCTTCTTTCCCTTCCCCCCAGTGGGGGATTCTCTGCTGCAACCATCGCCACGAAGCTCTCAGGATGCCTGGGAAGGGGATGGGGGAATTGTTCCTTCCTCATGTGGGAACGTCCCTCAGCCCTACAGGAATCCCCTCCTGCTGAACTCGAGCATTGCAGCATCCTTTGCTCTCCTGGAGCTTTGCTCTGGGAGCAGTTGTTGTTCAGCTGCTGTTAAGTTGTGCCTGAGCGTTTGCCTCCATTTCTTAGAAAGTTCTCCGCAGTAATGAAACTTCTTTTGCTCCGGATCTGATTCCACCATCTGCACTGCTGTCACTGGAATTAAAACCTTTACTTTGCATCAAGAAACAGATTTTGCACCGATCCACACAAATGGGAAACGGTAGAGAAGAAAATAAAGGCCGAGTTGCACCGACGATGCCTTTAAAAGACGAGCGAAGCAGTTAACCACAGAATGCTTTATAAATGAAATTGTATCTCCTTCCCTTCAGAGCGTGCCGTTTCCTGGAGCAGCAGCACCGTGGGTTCCTGGCACAGCGCTGCTCCTCTTGGGGCCGTTCCTTCCAGGAAGGGAAGGTCAGAGCTGCACGGCCGCCCCGCTGTTCCCGGACGCTGCTTTGCCATCTGCTGCGCTGCTGCACGTCGTCCACCACGTCCCTGCCAGCCCCAAGCAAAGGGCAGCACTGTTAACTCTGGAGCGGAATGAGGGCTGGCCCTGTGTGCTGCTCAGGGCTCGTGGGGGCGCCGTGTGTTTGCAGGGGGAGGGGGACATCATGGAGCACACGCACAGCGGGTACAGCAGGATGTTTCTACGAGCGCAGGTTGGCCTCTCCAAAAGCCTGAGTGCCCTGTTGAGTTCGGGGTGAGCTCCGTGTGGTTGCTGCAATGGGGATTTCCTCGTCCCACGTGGGCTCAGGTGCTCTCTCAGGATGCGCTGCATCCAAGCATCGCCCTATAAAGTCTCTGCAAGGCTCTTCCCTCTGCTTGGGGAACGAACAGCTTTTGTTTCTACTCTGATGGTGATCACTTGGTTGGGCTCAGGGCATTGCAGAACTCTTTACAGAGCCAAAAGCAGCCTCTGCACTGCAGCAGCTCGATGCACCTTGTGCAAATGGCCAACCTCAATCCCAAAATGCTCAGCCCTGCGTGCATTGCTCCAGTTCCACATCCCTGGCCAGGCTCAGGTCGTGTTACTGTTGTGCTTCTTGTGCTTTTGGGGCAGAAAAAGGAGTTTGCGTCTCCCCATCCCCAGAGCTGCCCGGACACCAGGGTGAATTCGCACCTTGCTTTTGGTGGTGAATGCTCTCCGTTAACGTGAGGGGAACAGAACGACAGGGCAGCCAGCAGAAGGAGTTAAAATCAGATGGACAGAGCTCTTTATTGCAAATTCCAAAGTAAAAAGATGTACAGTACAAAGGAACTCAATGTTCAGACACAGAGCGCCCGTCCCACTGCTCTCCCTGGAGGCATTCCTCCTCCCTCCCACCCCAGCCAGTTCCATCCTCCTCCTTTCTTCGTGTAAAACAGCAGAGAAAAAAAACCTGGAGGTGACAGGGATAGGAAACAGCGTTCAGACCAAGCTGGGCGCAGAGTGAAGGCACCAACCTTAACCAAATAGAGACCTACAAATATTTGATATTTCTATCTGATGAATAATTTGGACCAAAACTCTATGAGGAGAATTGATTTTTACAAGGTTCTCCCTTGGCCCTTTGCCTTGCAACAACTCCGGGTTAGATCCGGACCCCTGGAGGAGCAGCTCATCCCCTTCTGGGACCAGGCAGCAAGGCCATGCAGCAGAACCTTGGGGGGGATTCTATGATCCTACGGCCCTGTGCCATGCATGGGTTCCGTCCTTTGATGTCCCAAAATGTGTGACCTGAGCTCCTGGAACGAGCAGGGAGCAAAGAGGCGGTCCTGCAGGAAGCGCCCAACGGATGGGGGATGGCGCCATCCTTGGTTGGGTGCCTCTTGCTCTGGAGGTGTCCAACCACACCGCCGCTGCGTGGCCAAGGGCAGGGGGTGCTGGGGACGTGGGCACCTGATGCCCCGTGACCACGGCGCCCATCTCCAGGGACGCCCCCAGTGTGACGTGAGAGATGGGAGATGAGGGACCGACGCAACCCCAGCATCTCACTGCGGTCGTCGCGTCAACATCGAACCAAACCAAAGAAGACCTTGGAGGAAGGACGGAGAGGACAAGCAGGCAAATAACTGGGACACCGAGACAACCCGACCTTGTACAGTGAAAAGGGTAACGTTTATTTTATTGTCTTTTGGCTTATAGTAACGTAATCCTTAATCATGTTGGGTAAGATCATTATGAGCCACCATGCAATTTCTAATACACTAATCTTCACTATTGATCTTTTACAGCTGTAACAATTTATTTATTTTTTTTTTTCTTTGCGGCGGAAAATTAAATAATCCGAACTCTGGTGTGGCCTCTAACATCACGGTTTTATGGGAGTTTTTCTTCTTGTTGTTCAACATTGGCTTCTATATTTTTAAAAAAAGGTGAACAGGAAAAGTGAATAAGCAGCTTAAATCGGTTATTTCCTTTTTGCCCTTCCCCTCTGCTCTTTTACACAGTAACAGATGAACCGAAAAGGGAGGACTTGGACACGGGGGGAGGGAAGAGAGCTACTTGCTGTAGTCTTGGCTTTTTGGCTACGTCCTTTCCACGGACAACAACACCCTCAGCTTCGTTCCCATAACCCTGAATCTGGAATAGAAATCCCAGCGTACGCCTTTGACTTCAGACACCGACGTCCTTCGTGCTTTTGGACCAAAGTTTCCCCTCTGTCCTTGGCTTCACCCAGTGAAGATGTCCAGAAACGCAGCTCCATCGGCTGCAGCGGCTGATGGCACTGGCTGCCCCGAGCAGGAAACGAAGAGGTTGAGAATGCACCAAAAACCCAGAACCTTCCGTTCAGCCGGAGAGCAGAGGAAGAAACCCTTCGTTCCTCTTCCTTTGCCACCAACTAACGCCACCTCCGACCTCTCGTTTGGTACAGGTCTGATGTTTTAAAAAAATAAATATATATACAGAGTTTGAAGGGATTTCCTTTAGAGGAACTGAGTAGCGGAATGGGATTGCCAGCAGGAATGCTAATTGCACCAAGCTTCGCCTGCGAGTCAATGGCCCAGCTTAAGAACAACTATGAAGTTTAGCCAAATCTTGCATAGAAGTGGTCGACTTATTGCACATTGGAACCCAAAAATATATACTTCTGCTGTTGCAAAGTCCATTTGCAATAAAGCTTTTTTTGTTGTTTAAATCTATTTTTTTTCGGGGGGGTAGGGTTTATGTTTTTGTTGTTTTTTTTTCCTTTGGGGGACGTTTACTGGCTATCTAAAGTCTAAGGAAAAAAAAAGAAAGATATTAAAAAAATAAAAATAAACATGGACAATGGCATAAGCCAGAAGCCATTCTATTATTTTTGTAGTTCTTTGTATTTACAAAAAGGCATGCCGATAAAATAAAATGATATATTACAGTATTTATAATATTCTCTTAAAAAGTTCAACCACACTTTTCAGCTATTTATTATTATTATCATTTTTTCTTGTGCTGTTTACAATGTAGCCTGTACATATGTATGTTTTCTCTGTTTTATTGTACATCATATCCTAGGAGCAACTGGGGCAACAGAAAAGGTTCCTCGCCGCGTTCCTGGGGCGCAGAATGGCTCCGTGCGCACGGCGCTGGGCCATGAGATGATGCCAACCTCCGTCCTCCTGCTACCGCCAGCTCCTGGCTCTCCCCCTCTTTGGGGTCCCCTCGGTTCGGCCCTCAGCCGTCGCCGCCCTTCCTACCCTGGAAGAAAACCCATCCCGGCCCTGAAGAACGAAACCTCCACTGAGCGGCGGTCGGGTGCCGAGGACGCCGCGGCCGTTGGGAAAAAAGAAACGTTGGGGCTTCTCCTCTGTGGCATCGGTTGCTGCTGCAGCGAGAAGACTAGGCAAGAGGTAGCTCTGATTCCTACCCACCCTGCAGGGCCGTTCGAGTTCGCCACTCGATGGAAGTGGAAGAAATGGGAAGGAGGTGAAGGCACCTGGCGCCCGGCTCTCCCCCTGCACCCCCGGGCTGGTGCTTTCCCACTGACCACACGGGCCCATGCTGCCTTTCGTTTGAAACAAACGGGGAGAAAAAAAATTAAAAAAAAGAAAGGAAAGAAAAAAAAAAATCCGGAACAACCAACCGACAGCAGAATCGTCACAATAAAAACCGCTGTGGCCACGGAAGCAAGAAAACCAAACTGCACTGCGCCGACGCAGCGCTGATGGAGGAGCAGAAGGGGCTCGGAGCTCCCTGCCATCCCCTCCACCCCACGGCACAGCTGAGCGATGGCTCCTTCCCCAGCCCTGCTGGGGGGCTGCATGCCAGCTCCCCCCACCCCTTCCAGTCCTCAGCGCTTTTCCCTAGACTAAAAAAAAACCAACAAATCGAGTCTACGCTGCAGGATGGAGGCAGAATCGTAATTAACGCTAACGACAACTATTGCAGGATACAAATCAACGTGCTGACTGGTATTCGAGCCCTAGATTTTGGTTTTACAGTGACAAGAGTAGAACAAAGCCA